TATATCAATAGATAATATTTTACAAACTACCGAAGAGATCAAAATAACAATTCCAGTAAGAATAAAGACCTCTGGCTTAAGGAGACAACAGACCCACATGACGTTTTCTTTTTTCCAAGAGAACCACTAGGGGATAACAATAAATATTTATCATAACTCTGAATAGGTCATATCAACCAGCCTCTACAGAAACTATCGATGGGTAAAAACAACTTGAAATAAGAACGGTTAAAATAATTGTTATCAAAATCATTCATGCAATAAACTTACAATCAATAAGTATACAAAAGTTTTTATTATTTACTACTACAATACCATTGTTGATATAGATTACCTTACGTTTTTATTACAGTTTCCTTCCGATTCGGTAGTAACGGGCCATGGCTTAGTCAATGGACGACTGGTATACATTTTTAGTCAAGACTTTACAGTGTTTGGTGGGAGTTTATCAACTACCCACGCTAAAAAAATATGTAAGGTAATGGATCAAGCAATGTTGGTTGGAGCGCCTGTTGTTGGATTGAACGATTCTGGAGGGGCAAGAATACAAGAAGGAGTTGATTCCTTGGCTGGTTATGCTGATATATTTCAGAGAAATGTTTTGGCATCTGGAGTAATACCACAGGTATTTCATACTATTGTAATGTTCCTGGGTTTAACAAAATTAACTTTTAAGACTGATGAAGACAAAACTATTTATTTACACTAATTATTAAAGAAGTTAAAAACACTATTAAATTATTACTACTTAGGTTATGAATTATTCTATTTAGTTATACTACCGTTGATATATCACTATTCACTGCGCTATTTATTTCACTGCTATCACTGTCCATTTATATCTCGATTCACTTCTGCAACGGTCAATTTATTTCTCCTCTTACCGGCGATCGTCTCTTCCTTTAAATACTCTTTTGTTTACTTTCGAGGACCTTCTGGAAAACGTCCGGATAGTTTACATTTTCTTTGAACTGTTTAACTGCTCTTCCAGAACGCAAGCACGACATACACATTTACAAATACGGCGCACATAAAGAAAGGCGCCCGCGGCTAGTCCGCGAATCGATAAGCCGTTAACACACACGTGTGCCCGATCGCACACAAACACACTCGCGCTCGCTACACTATGCATTTTCGACGGCAAAGAAAGGTATTTCCTTTTTATCATTAAGTTACCTGATTAGGTCACGTAGGAATACGTGACAAGTTGATGGTAACTTAGAGATCACTTAATTCTTTCCCACTTAGATGAATATATTGATGTTGAGGTATTTCTGTTTTTTCTGTTTTGCCATATCTTATACTTAAAATATAAATACCTTTAAACAATATATATGCTGCAAATACAATTATAAGTGTTGCACCATAATNGCAAAGAAAGGTATTTCCTTTTTATCATTAAGTTACCTGATTAGGTCACGTAGGAATACGTGACAAGTTGATGGTAACTTAGAGATCACTTAATTCTTTCCCACTTAGATGAATATATTGATGTTGAGGTATTTCTGTTTTTTCTGTTTTGCCATATCTTATACTTAAAATATAAATACCTTTAAACAATATATATGCTGCAAATACAATTATTATTAACATAATTAATAGTAGAAATATAAGAGGTGTAATAGAGATAAATTAATGGTTTTAATTCAAATTGTTTAAATTTTTAATATCGATAAAGAATAGCGATTGTTTATCGGTATTAAAATTAGAATTGTTCTGTAGTGAGAGTCATTTTGATTTCCTTTAGAGCGTTTAACAGTTCACGATTAGTTATAAATTTTTGTTTTTAAGCTAGTTAAATGGATAAATAGGACCTTATTCTTCTTCATTAATCCCTTGGAAGATTGGTAATTCCTTAGAAAAGAGAACAGCAGGTGTTTCCTTACTTTGGTGATTACGTCGAAGTGAGATTTCGATGTAGCGGTGTCTTAAATTGTATGACCAGATTAGATTAGAGATTGATACCTCGAAAAATGCAGTTAACGGTTTTGGTGAACAATGGTGGTTACCCAATTTGATGCTGAAAGAGCTACTTTGTATCCTGTTCGCAGCGCCAGTTAAACATCTCGCCCTCTACGACTGATCGTCCCGATTATATTAACGATCCCAAACTTGTTGTAGTTTCGGGCAGCGTCCCTTTTGCCTTGATATAGCCATACCTTGTGACCCCCATTAAACCTAACAGAATTGGGTCCACAAGTAACACTTGGTATGCGAGATATGCATTTTGGCTCGGAAAACACTTATGGTAGACCATTCGAAAGCTGAAGGAAGTGTCATTTGGTTTCACACACTCCCAGAGCTTCCTTGCATCAAAACAAGATTATATTATTTGTCTGATTAACAACAATCGGAATTGTCTATTATGAGTTTTTGAAAGCGAGTCAAAGCATCACTGTTATCATCAGCTAACAGCTTCAACGAGTAAAATAAACGCTCATTTAAAAATAACCTTTTTGTTAATCAATCGAAAGATATTCCCACCGGGCAGAAATTTGTGAACCTGGTTTTAAATTTTTCTGCCAAGTGATTACCACCTTTTTTGACAACCACACAGTGCATAGGCAGTTCAATATTCGGGATGATGAAATAAATGCGGAACAAAAATTTTTTAATTTAAAATCCATGGAGTTCTACAATACTGACATACAAAAATTGGTGTCACGTTGGCAAAAAGTTGAAGTAATGGTTATTACTTTAATGATACAATTGTAATAGTTTTTTTAATAAATATTTATGTTTTAATATCAAGAAGCGTACGAACTTATTTGGTTGCCTGATAGTATAGAATAAATCTGCTTTATTTCAGATTTCTGTTATTATGGGTCCATGTGCTGGAGGTGCAGTGTATTCACCAGCGATGACAGACTTCATTTTCATGGTAGAGGATACGTCCTACCTTTTCGTTACAGGTCCAGAAGTTGTGAAGGTAATTTTTTGATTCATAATACTATCTTCATAATATAAAGTATGTTGTCACCTGTCAAATTGGTCACTACATTTGAATTGGCTTCTCCATAGTGAAAATTAAAGGTAATTTAACTATTTCAATTTACAAAAATTGTCTAGTTACATATTTGCTTTACAAGTGTTATGATAGTTTTTAAAATGATTTTGTTTATCATCTGGCTGAAACGTCTGAGTAATGTGTACAGTACACATCAGAGAAAGCAAGTACACTAGCGTAGCGGTTCCTATTATTTTTTACTATGAAATCATTTAAGACCCACCCTTTTTGCGGAACCCATCTCAACAAAAAAGTAAACTGACAGAACTGAGTGTGTACATGTTGAAATTTTAAACATAAATTTTGAATTTAAAATATTTATTGCACGTATTTAATGTGCACAACCACAAAACTGAAACTCGTCTGTAATCTGTAAGTGTAAGTTGGTACAATCCGAAACAGGAACCGTGATAATCGTTTCAGGTATTCAACATACAAAAGTCATTCAAAATTAAATTAGTTGATTCGAATTTTTACTTTAGAGAGAATGAATTTTTAATATCGATTAAATTCTTATTTACATATGGATCCTGTACTCAGTGGGTGTCCTGTAACTTTTTTGGAAAATATTCTCTGCAGGACTTTTTTGATTCAATAAATGTTCATTTATGCTCCTACACGTTTAGGTTACTTGTAAATGTAAACGAATGGTCAGAGACCATAAACCAGATGGAGGGTTACTGCTTTATCTAAACATTCAGAATCAGTATACAGTAGTTCAACATGAAAGAATGTTTAATGTTAAGTTAAAATCTGTGTACAAGCAGTAACGTTTTAAAGGGTATGTTCTTTGACTATCAGTTATATTTTACCAACAAATGTATAGTACCTAACCTAGTAGAACTATAAGAAAAAAACAATTTTTTTTGGTCTGAAGATGATTGAATAAACCGAAACGTAACTGAAAACAAAAAGTTGTTTAATTATTGTCCGCCACAATGGAAAATCCAATATATTTGTACATAATGCATGGGCTAAATATTCAGAAAATCAATTTTTCAGGATGCTATAGTGCATGGAACATTTCTTGCAATAGAAGAATATTTTCCAAAATATAAAAGTGGCCATGAAGGAATTGTCGTAAATATAGCCTCGCTGTTCGGCCTGGACCCTGTTTTATCATGCCCAGTATATTCTGGTACTAAATTTTTCGTTATCGGATTCAGTCAGGCTATCGGTTCTAAGGAGCAGTACCAAACAACAAAAACACGAGTTCTGACTATTTGTCCTGGAATAACCGAAACCAATATCGTAAATGAAGCTCCCATGAAAGTCAGAAATGAAGACTGCAGAAAACTGCAGTCCGATGAACTCAAAAAATTAAAAGTTCAACCGTAAGTTAATGTAAAAATCATTTCATTTTATGCTTTCTCATTATTTAGTCGGACATTAGAAGTGTTGTATACTATTATAACGAATAAGTAATGATTGGTGAATGAAAGAGAGAGTACAAATATTTTCAGGATTTATGTTTTCCAACATATTTTATCTTTAGTCCACCTAAGGAGTATTA